CAGTGTTGTAATTATTGAAAAGGAATTCATATTTGTTCCTCAATCACTTATATTAAGAAAAAGAAGAGAATTTGTATCCTACTTTCTGGCTCTCGCCTAAAGCTTTAGCACGGATGGTTGCTATACCTCCACCCCGACTGCTTAAACGAGGGCTATGCGTATAACTGTAGCCTGTGGGGGTGGCTTCATTTAGACTGAAGTATTCATCGGGTCTAATCCACGTTTCTGTGAGGCACAGAGCATCAAAATCATGATCGGTAATAATTTCATTTACAACGACGGCTTTCGATGTAAGAGATCTTATGTTAAGCAGTCCGAGTTTTAGACCAAAGGTGCTGTCACTGCAAACTGGTATAATTGGTCTGATATTAATCAAGTTACTAGAGCAAACTTTTTGGGGATTTTTGATGCTTTGTTTTATTTGGGGGAACAGGCACAGTCTCAACTGGGTGAAATCTATGTGGTGTCTCAAGGCAGCTCGCAGACGGTCGGTTTAGCCTGTTTGTCTGCTGCCTGGCCTCAGCTCCCGGTATACAGTTAACTGCCACTGGCCCCCCTAAAGCAGAAGCTGTTTTCACGTGCCGTAAAATAGAATCACCTATAACCAAAGCTCTTTCAACAGGCGTCTCGGGGGGTGTCTCACTGAGTGGGGCAAACCTGTTGGACACGTGAATGGGAGATGAGTGGTGCTCACGTGGGGTAGCTTTAGCTTTAGCTTTAGCTTTGCGGGACGCCACCCAATCGCTGCGCTGTGAGGGCTCTGTTGCTCTGTTGAGTCAAAGGCGTGGTAGATCTGCCATACTGATACTCACGTTGTTTCATTGGCTGAATTGAGTCCTTTCCAGGGCTCTCGCGAATGAGAGCAGAAGTGACTTTCAAAGGTCAGTGGTTGTAATTAATTGCGAGTAATATGCAGCAGCGAATTGAAAATGTAAAAAGCCGCAAAAGACTAGCAAAAAAGAGCGGAGAAAACAGTAAACACTCCTGTCAGTAACTTCGAAAAACAGAAAGCAACGTCACCAACCAGCAATAAGGAGGTGACCTGCAGTGCTGGCAGCCTTGTCACTGGCATGGTCCAGGTCTATGCTCAATTTCTCTATGGCCAGAATGAATAGGGCTTTCGAAAAATCGCCTCTGCCGCACCCCGTGGTAGATAAAAATGTTCAAAGCCCGATACGTTTTGTCCTGTGAACATTCTTCTTTCTAATAACACTGGATCCTCTGAATTATGAGATGGTTAAAGAGTTGAAATATGAATATTGCTACATGTAAGCTAATGTTACTGTGCACTGAATTGACGTCAGTAGGCTAGCAGCCTCCTAAGCACACTTGGTCAGTGTGATAGCGTATTTCCATGTACAGATGAAAATACTGAGGGCAGATGAAAAGAAATCAGAACAAAAGAAGCAGGTTTCCCTGCAGTTATGTGTTCTTCATCTGATACTCAATGAAACACGATAGATTATTCCTTTTTAGCTTGATTTGAAAAGCTCTACAAACTTACCTGCACTCAGGCTAATTCAGTACAGACTCAGCTTAATATTACTGCTGACCCCCTGATAAGCTGATTTAGACTATCAAAATATCCTAATTATTATGTTAGTGCTGGTGACATTTTCTCAGGACATTCGCCAGCTTCTTGTTCGACTTCTTCCGTTCCACCTTAAATTTTGCAGAAGTTGGATAAAAAGTCACTGTTTTCTGCTTAAATATCACAAAGCACGATTTTTAGCGTTTATAGCCATATTCTATTGATGATTTTCCTATCAAAGAGAATTAATAATTTAATGATGTAATTTGTATTTATTTACAATTATTTAATACTATGTAATTTGGTATGATTAATATATATTATAATATATGATATATAATGTACAGCCATCTCCAGAAGTATTGCTAGGCTTTAAGAAACTGGGCAGTAAGATTTAACCCGATAGAAATCCTGTTGTGTGTATTGAAGAGGGCAGTCCACAAGCTAAGACTCTAGAATATCAAGGAGCTGGAAATATTCAGCATGGAATAGTAGGTCCTAGAGCCCTAAAGTGTTTTCCAACCTTGTTAAGCATTACAGTAAGCGACTCAGTGCTGTTATTCTTGCAAGGGGAGGCTTTCCCCAATATTAATAAATGGGGGTGCCAATAATTTTTAAACCTATGTATATTATGTGTATTTTATATTCCCATGTACATTGTGTTACAAAACACAGTGTAAAAACAAATATGCAGCATATCCTTGGTTTAACCATGAAATATAACTGATTGCAGATACAGTTTATGTAATGTATTTATTTTTATATAAATATATATATTTATTTTAAGGTAGCCAATAATCTCAAGTTGACAAAAACATCATTTGGCATAAACAATAATTAAATTTTACTTGCATGGAAATTCAGCAAATGTTTATTGCACATTTCTTAACCTATGGCTAACATACATTTCAGTGTTTCTGAAACATGGTTGGTGATGTGAGCCAATTTGCACATTTTGCCTTACATCCCCATTACAGTGTTGCTCTTGCATGTTAGGATTATGTTAACCTATGGATGTTAAATTTACAATTTTAAAAGTAAATGTTAAGTGGTAATATGACCATCTTGCTTTTTAAACTGACACGTGTATGGCGGTAAATTAAACCATGCTCATACAAGCTGAGGTGGTAATCAATATGTATTGAATCACTATGAAAATTATACACATATTTCAGTAATCATGAGAACCAACATAGCATGAACAGAGTGAAGGTAACACAGTGTTTATTAAAAATGTAGACCACATAAATCACTGCAGAACAAGCCATTACTGCCCCTTCATCAAAAACCTCTTTGTAGCTTATGTATTAGTAAATATTGTTTACAAGAAAATGTAGTTTACTTGTTCAGATGAAAGACTCACCTTGTAAACCATGAATCAACTTTTTACAGCATGTTAAAAATAGCATCTGGGGGAGTAGGGGTTATAGCGGCATATCCAGGATTAATTGACATGGAAGTGCACAAGATGGTCTGATATCTATAGCTAGATAAGCTGGCCACAACTATCCTTTTTTTTCATTCTGATTGGTCATTTTGTGTGTCATACAAAAGGTCATTTACAGTCAAAGTAGCCCCTTTTTGACCATGTTAAGCTATGACCCACAGCAGACTCTCTGACGACAGGCAGAAATCTAGCTTGCAAGACTACATGGTTACACTATCAAAACATGGAAGATGCATTTAAGAGTTAGAGTTAGTATAACATATTATAATAAAAACATACTTGAAAGAACTAAAATAATGAGACGTAAAAGCTAGTAACCAGAAATTGATACCACTGAGATGCTGGAAAGATTAGTTCTTATCCTTCTTATGAGTACACTCAACTGACTCAACATGCCTACTGTTCTGCTTAGCAAATACAGGATTTTTTGTTTGTTCAACCAGAAAGTTGGACTGAACACAGCAATATTCTTTCACTGAATATATCATAAATTGAACAGCTGAACATGTTAATGACACAGATTCAAAATAATATTCAACTTCAGATTTTTGCAGTTAAACTTAAATTTCTAATCACATGAAGATTCTCCTAACTTTTTAATCTTGAAAGAATATATAACTTAGGATGGCATCCTTCCAAGTGGAACCAAGACACAAAAGCGGAACCCATCCTCTTCTGGTTGATACCACGTAACACAGTAACACAAAAAGAGCAATATGAATACAGAATCTTGTTCATACAATTAATACTGAATACAGAGAAAAAGAAAAAACCCCGCCTGGACAGAAGTATTTAGATTAACCAGTGCTAACCGATGAATACTATGAGAGGCCTATCATAGTAGCAAAACTAGTAACAGCTGTTAGGAACATATAACAGTGAAAATGAGAGTAAAATACATGAACATAAATGTCTGCTGTTAGAAGCCTATAATGATGATCTGATCTAGGTGTTTATGCTCTAAAAGTTTGAGTCTGTGCGGGCACCAGTATCACCAGAAGGGCATACTGATGGTCACACTGATCCAGAAAGTGGGTTATCGAGCAGCAGTTCTTTCCTTCGAAACATGCACCTTATTGCACTCATTCACACTTTATTTCTGAATCATTGTGTCATTTCTGTTCAATATTTTGCACTTTACCTCTGTGATTTACTACTATACTTTTTATAAAATGCACTTTAATTCTACTCTACATATTTATTTATTTAACTTAATGAAGCTATGGTATGGATAGGTACTTTGCATCGCTATGACTTCAACTGTTTGCATATATTAAAAGAAACTCTGGATAGGCAATATCATGTTGCATATAGACCCAATTCAAAAAACATGCTAACATTTTAGGAATTTTAGCAAAGTGGCACCTAGAAAAATCATGGAAAAGACAGAGAGGAACAACAGCAGAAAGGAAGAAGAAATCTGAATACTGGAGATGGATCAATGGCGAGATGACAGAATGAAGGGAGTATAGAAGAGTACAGAGAACTGATTGAATGAGGGAGGAGCCTCAGTTGCAGCTCCTTGCTGTTCTTTAAAGGAACTTGCTTAAAAAAACACTGAGCCAGTTTGATACACGACTCTTATTCATTCTGCTAAATGTGATTAACTGCTTTATTTTACATTGGATTTTTTTATTGTATTGCACTATAAGATACTATAAGCACTGCACCACTTACTTTTAAGAGACTTGAAACAACTCACAAAAACATGAAAGATATGGATATAAAAGGTTTTATGAAGAGACCTGGTGCACTCACCAAAAAGCATTTCATCTATGCTGTGTTCACAAAAAACGTACCAGCAGAAGTTTTTAAAGTTTTTAAAATTTAAATCATATTATTCATATTTGCACGTTTTCACATTTTGCTACTTAATGTTCTGCTTGTAGAATTTACTGTCTTCTTGTACCTTTTCTTTTACCTGAGTGCGTAGAAATGGTCAATCTGTAGGTGGCGCGCTTTCTCATTTTGAAACACACTTCCTGAGTTACTCGTAATGTAAAAAGAAAAGGACGGGGGCAGGGTTGTCAGTTTGACTTGTAGTCGTCACGATTTGCTGAATCACACAAACTCTTCCGCATCGTTAAAACTTTGGAGACGACAAGACACGGTCAGTGTCCGGCTTCCATACAGAGGCAACTGTTTGTAGATATCTGCGTTATTTTTTAGAGGTCTATGCGATTGCTAGAGTTTTAGAATACTCAGTTAGTAAAAGTAACGATTCTCAAGTGTTTAGAACGTTCGTTTTGGGGTATTTCATCGCGCAGTGAATGGGGCCATTACACAAATGGCATATGACAACTGACAAGCCGAACAAGCTGAAAACTGTGGTTTTCATTTGAATGGAGTGGATTATTTTTGACTGATCTGCATTTTCTCGCTGCTATACTGAACCTTGAGAAATGAAGCTCGGCAGACATTTCACAGTTTTTGGCAGTGCCATATTCTGTGTGGTGGTATTCTCATTGTACCTCATGTTGGATCACCTTCAGTTAGACCACATAAAAAACCCAAGTAATGGAGAGAGATTTGAGAACGTAAGTTTTTTATTTATTATCTCTTCCCATTTTCAGATTAACGTTTGTGCCATTGTACGCAACAAAAAGTTGCCACATGCTGTACATGGACTATGATACCTTATGCTAACATTACGATTTACCTATCAGTGTCAAATGTTTGTAAAACAGACCCAAACAACCTCTTGGTCTGTAGCCACCTTTGAAAGACGGTTTAAACTTCCTATTGAGTTTCCTAAGGATAGCCTAAACATAGTAGGCCACATAGGTCATATTTATTAAATATTTATTTATCTGTCTATTTTTATTATTTAATCTTTAGGCTCATAACAAGCTCATGGTATGAACAACGTCAAAGGAAGGAACAAACGAAGATACTTATTGATATTTTAAACGTACAGTCGCCAATAATGATTTTCTTTCAAATATAAGAAAATGTGCTAATATCTGTTGATAATTCTGCAGACTCTCGATTATGAGGAAATTCTTTTCTGTTGTTTACCCTTAACAGCGCTGGCTGCCACACAAGAACTCACTGGAATAACAAGTTTGTTTTAAAGGGTAGTTCTACTTATTTTTTTGGAATCACTGCATAATTCAGTTTTTAAGATGTAAACAAAGTGCTGAAGAGTGGTTTTATGTGAAATGCCTTGATTGTTGTTTCACAAATCAGATTTTCTTAGTTTAGCCAGATAACTTAAACCTGAAGTCAAGGTTGTCCAATGGGAAAAGAGCTGAGGGACATTCCTCTTGGACAGTTCTCATTTTTGGGTTTAAATTATCTGGCTAACTGAGAAATCCAGCTTTGTGGAATATCCTTTCCCTTAACTTACAAAGAAGTGTTAATATCAGTATTGATACAAACCAGACGTCGTCTGTGTACCTCAAAACTACACCAAACACCAAATGGTTATGAATATGCCTATATATATATATATGTAAAAACCTACATGCTTCTGTTATAAACATAAACACATTGGTCTAGGAATACTGCGGAAAACCCTTGTCAGAAAATGCAGGTTGTCACTGCATCTACAAATGCAAGTTAGGACTGTACTACACAAAGTAAAAGCCAAATATCAACAGTGTCCAGAAACGTTTGCGCCTTCTTTGGACTAAATGCTCAGTGAATATATGTATTGTGATCTGACAAGTCCACCTTTCAGATTGTATGTCTGTGTGTTGATAACTTGCACGTCTGTGAAAGAACCATTAATGCTGGGGTACATATGCATTTTGTAGCAACATATGTTGCCATCCAGATGTTATCTTTTTCAGGGACATCCCTGCTTGTTTTAGAAAGACAGCGCCATTCCATTTTCTGCATGTGTCACAACAGCATGGCTTCGTAGTAAGAGAGTGCAGGTGTTAGACTGGCCTGCCTGCAGTCCAAACCTGTCTCACAATGTATGTCAACTGAGACTCTGGACTGCTGAGTGATCAAAGTGTTATATTAAGCAAGAAGGGGAATAAAAAAATTCCACTTTTACAACTACGACAATTTGTGTCCTCAGTTCATAAACGTTTACTGAACACTGTTAAAAGGAAAAGTAAACATGCCCCCTACCCAACTTTTTTGGAACATGTTGTAAGTGTAGGTATGCAAAAAAACAGTAAATTCGTGAAAAAATAAATGTCTTTGTACTTTTTCCAATTGAATGTTGTTGAATGCTAAATCATAGCTGTCTGTTTTTATTTACATTTTTTGGTATTGGATTTGTACATCTCAATAATTCAATAATGCAGAAATTTTGAAAAATGGTGGAATTTCCCTTTAAGCAAATTTGTTTTGGCTCGCTTTGTAGCTTACATGGTCATGAAGCAAATGAATTGTGCTATTTTAAGGAAGTTGCCATTCAGCATTTTACATACTGTAAGCCCAAGAGCAGAAATATTAGATTGCGTGTAACCTAGGAACAGTTCTCTAATAACTATAGTGGTTGCATGAGCAAGCTACAACAAACTATTTTTGTGGTAAAGCCTAGCCTACTTGGGACATTGTAAACATATTCTACCATAATAATCTAAACAGTAAAAGTCAAAAATCAAATTAATTTACTGTGCTTATGTATGATTTCAGTTATTTTCTTTACTGGCACCTCAGTACAATGCAGATAAAACAGACAATTTAGCACTTCAAATACATTCAAAGAAGTCATTCCTGATAAAATATTTTTTGTATCCATTGTCTCATTAGGGGCAGTTGGACATCCTTCAGGACAAAATAGATCACCTCGAAAGACTACTTGCAGAGAATAACAAAATCATTGCCAACCTCAGGGATTCAGTGTTGAACCTGAGAACATCAGTTAAGGATGGCAGAGGGTCTCTGGAAGCTGGGAACGCAAGCCAGGTCTTGGTGGTACCCTCTGCTCCACGGATGGGGCCCATTGACTTGGAGGACTGCCAGTTTTCTGCTCAGACCTATTCTAAGGCTGCAGATACTGTACAGGTATGATCATACAGAACAGGACTAAAGGTGTGACGCTAGTAGGAGCAATTGAAAGTTCTGATTAATTTTGATTTAAAAGGGGGATTCTTTTTAAGAGATAATAAAAAGTTAAGCCTGCAGGACCATCTGTGTAAATGTTGTCATTGACTGTTAGCTCAGACACCTACCCATATGTTTTCCTTTCACTTATGATGGGTAGTGGAAAAGGACTATAAAATTTAATGGATATACTGTCATATGCAAAAGTTTGAACACACCCAAATTACAAAAAATATTGAATCTGTAAATAAAAATAAGTTATAACATCCTCTACAAAGAACACAGCAAAAAATGGCATTTTTCTAGATATTTTACTGCACAATGTTTTTGTTTTCATAGTGGTAAAAATAAAACACATACAAAATGTGCGTTTATTTGCACAGGACACATTTTTATGTCAATAATTTTCCAATATGTTAATTGTGCATTAAAAGTGTGTGTGCCCTCTATTTCACTTGCAAAATCAGCACAAAATAACATAATAACAGTACAAACTGTCTGTGAAACCTAAGTGCTTTTGCATGTGTGTGTTTTATAGTCTTAAGGTGATTCCTACTGCAGGCCAGTAGGAATAGCATCGATTATACAAACATGAAAAAGTGGTTAATCAACATTATCAACAAAAAGACTTGATGATAGGGAGAAATTGCTAAGAGTAAATTAAAAGTGAAGACTTTGATGACAACACTCTTGTAGCTAGCAGCAGGAGAACAGCCTGCTGAACTACTTCATTACTTGTATCAGAAACGTTTTTTAGATGAGTCAGAAAGAGAAGTGGATGTGCTTGTTAAACCAGCTTTATTTTGTGTGTGTGTTGTTTTCAGTGCAAAAAAACAAAAGTGCTGAAATTTCTATAATTGCACTCTGATCATCACGCACACAAATAACAGAAGCATTCCTTTCTTTTACTCTTTCACCGATTTGTTCGTATCACACACATATGCAATCTGAGTGGATTCTGTTCATTACTGGGTCATGCCTTCAGAATTTCGGGATGCTGATTTATCGGTCTTTCAATCGGAATGAGTTGAACTGAATGTCAGGGCCCATGGCCCTATGAATGTTGTCACACTGATTAGTAATATTTTTTTTCAGATGTTGGATGTGTATGATTTGCTCAGCTTTGATAATCGTGATGGTGGCGTATGGAAGCAAGGGTTTGATATCTCATATGAGGAGAACGAATGGGACGATGAGCCTTTGCAAGTGATTGTTGTTCCCCATTCACATAACGACCCTGGTAAGTGATCCAAATTCCTGTTAAATTTTTATCATTTTCCCTACATGTTGGTCAAGGACAGTTAGTTGAATATCATTCTGCTATTGTATTTTTCCATGTTTTTTTTCTTTTCAGTTAAAGCAATAGGGTTAGCGCCACTGATATGTGAGTGGAAAAACGTCTGTATTCCTTATCTCATATGAAGCAAGCCTGCCCTGATCTTTTTAAAGTATCTGTTCTGCCTCATACATTTTCAGTACATATAAAATAAGCATTATTGCTTCTTTATGTAAGTATGTTTCAGAAAAAAGCAGTTTAAGTTGCATTACCTGTCTTACTTATTTTTATCACATTTTATATTTTTTTCTCACAATATTAGTTTCAGCTCATTGTTGTTTAGGCTGAAAGTTAGTATGTTAGTATAATAGGACACTAAAATATGTAGAAGTGGGTGATAATGCAAAAACGTAATATGCTGATATCTACAGATTACCATATTTTGGATGTTTCTGTTTAAGATTACTTAGTCATGACATTTGTGAAATAGGACATCTAGTGTTTTTCAAGAGATTGGGATATGCTTTTAAAAGTAAAGGTTTTTGGTTCTTGTTGAGTACATAGTTCTACGAAGAACCTTTAATTGGTAAATAACCATTACATTATATGGAGTTAAACTTACCATGTGCATTCACGCAAGGCTTTTTAGTTTTTTTTAGCACCTTTTTTTGTACTTAAAGTTGCCAATTGCCATTTAATTCTGTTCAAATCCCTGACCCTCTAAAATTTAAAGCATATATTCAGTGAGGTTCGGTTATGGTCAGTTTGCTGTTGTGGTTTTACAGAGTGGCAAGGCGGTTCTGTTTTGTCATGCAAAAACAGGGAACTCATCTCTATATGGTCCTTTTTGACCTGACCAGTGCAGCTTACACATCCAATGGTGTGTGGAAGAGAGGGAAGGAAGTTAAGGGCAGATAGAGAAGAGATGAATTCACAGGCTGCAGACGTTTTTGTGTCTATGTATGTGTACTGATTTTCTTAGGAATGTATTCATAAATATTTGAAAACAAAATATTTGTCAGAACATTGGAATTTCAAATATATGCATGTTAAAACCTGGGTTTGTTTCATTATGTGTTCACTAGTTCTGGTAATTTCTCTGCTTTGTTTAAAAAGGGCTGAGCTGTGTTTTTCAAAGGTAAATTTGTTACATTCATCTGCCTTCATGAAACCTCAACTACTGATTTTCATAGCAAGAGAAAATACACCTGCAAGTTAAACTGGAAAGGTTAGTTCTAGATTTCCAGGCCTGTCATCCTAGCACAGCTGGGTGCATGCATGCACTCATATCACTAATGGCACTTTTAGGCATTGTCCATGTATAGTAACCTGATCTACAGTGGTCATATTTCAATTAGAATTTGCCAATAGGCTTACTTGTAATTAGTTCTGCAGTTTCTCTTATAATATTTTTAAGACTTTAAGAGATTTTAGCTGTGTGTGTGTGTGTGTGTGTGTGTCTGTGTGTGTGTGTGTGTTCTATTGTTACAGGCTTGAAATCGTAACAATAGAAGAACACTTTTGGGTTCTATGTAGAACCCTTTTCAAAAAGGTTTTATATGGAATCATCTACAGCACATACTCCATCAGTCTGAAGAACCATTTAATGATGCAAAGAGCCCTTTAATCATGCAGAGCCCTTTAATCATGCTCTTTGAGTGTTAATGGTTCCATATAAAACCATTTTTTTGCTAAATACCCTTGAGGAACCGTCATTTTTAAGAGTGTACTGTAAACCTTTATGCTCTGGTAGGTTGCACTACAGCCTAGCAGCAATTTTTTGTATGCTCTGGCAGAGGAAGAACCATGAACTGTAGTGTTTTTTGACTGACAGCAGAATCCATAGTCGATGGCCAAAGGGATTGAACACGTTGAGACGAGCTATACTCAAATAATGCAATTTACACTGATATCAATGGTTAAAATGACTAATATACTCTATATATATGATATAGAAATATATTAGATATAGCCATGGCTATGTAGAAGATAAAGCCATTTCTTTTGACTGCGTTTCAGTAAAGTTCAAACTAACTTGATGAACACAAAGCGCTTCTCTGACACTGTGAATCTGCACATGTCAGGGTACCTGGGCTACGCAGTTCTATTTACAAGCTAAATGATAACCAACGCTAAAAGAAGGCAATCCTTTCGTGAGTAGTTGTCTGTGTCTATCAAGTGCAACAAGGTTAGGATTTTGACAGTGTTGTACTAGTTTATATTCTATATTGTCTGTCTATAAGCTACATAAACTCAGATTTGGGAAAATGGCATGGGCCGACCTTATTAACTCATTTAAGCTAAAATTGGAACTATGTTATCATCCGCATAACATCCCAACTTACAGCATCCATTGCACCTTCAAACGCTAGGAGGCTGGAGCCAGGGGTCTGTTGTAAAAGCAATTTAATGCTTCATCTTTTGACAGTGGCGATTTATTTTCGTTACTTCGTTTCTTTGTATACTCCCGTTCAGTCATATACATTTGAGATTCATGTGGTCCTTAAATTTGAATAGGACTTTCTGACTACTCTCACTTAGCTTCTCTACATTACCTTGAGATGTGTCTGTGTTGTGAAATTTCCTTAGCTGTCTTTGGTCAACTTGCGCAGAATGATGCCAAATTGTACTCATGAACAAAATGATTTCAGTGATCTTAAATGACTGCCCTTTCCTAGCTACTCAGATGTTTTTTTTCTGTTTTTATAGTCCATAGTGATTCATACTGTGTTCTAAACCACACTGACTTGTCTGCATGACCTGAATTAAGACCTGGATGCTGTTTGAACGGGTTAAACGTTGGCCATGTATTTATGGAAATGGTTTGAGAGACTATTATTCTAAGTTTTTGTTAGCAAACACTGTCGCCTTGTAGCTCTCGTTCAGTTGAAAAAATAGGTAAAATTTTGACAACCAACATGTCTTGGCTGATTAGGTGGAGTTCAAGTGAATTTAAGTGGAAGTAAAAATGTTTTACAGACTATTCCTCTTGATTAATTCACTTAATGTGACAGAACTGTCCAAAAAAAACCCACAGAAATCCACCTAATCCAACTCCATAATGTCCACCCTGCTACCTTTATGCAAGTGATGTGCTTTTTGCTCACTCCATCTCGCTCTCTACCTCACTCCCCAACCCGAGCTACATCATGTAGCAATCAAATTGAAAGCACGTTTTTTTAAAAACGAATTAATAAAAATGCTACCCGTTTTTAATTGGGTCAAAATATGCTTGGCAGGTGTCCATATACCTGGGTGCATTGCAGTGTGTTTATGTAATAATTATTGTTCTTTACTGTTTTTTATGGTCATTTGTATTTATGAGAGTTCAAAAGTAGTTTTGGGACTTCTCTTTCATTTTTTTTAAAGAATTAATTTGTTAATGTATTATGGAAATTGTTCTTTACCATATTCAGAGGTAAGTAATTTTAGCTATAATATATCAATCAGCACTTTTGTTACAACAAAACAAACTGGAAAACTTTCACCTAACGCCCCAATTTACTTTAAAAAGATCTGTTGAAAAATATTGTCTCTTGGTGACAAAATGTGAGATACGTAAAAAAAAATTGCAGCTACATTGCAGAAAAATTGTAGATACATTAACAATTAAAGAATCAAGTGTGATGTACTGAAATAGTGTTCAGCTTTTCAAGGAAGTGTTCAAAACGCTCTTACCATCCGAAAGAGAAAATTCAAGGAATAGTTGAGCATCTGTTGTGCAAACTCTTGCCTAGGCCTTCCAAAAGAAAGGATTTGCAACAAAATTCTAACCTAAATGAATTACTAAATAATAACCTACATAAAGGAAAGAGACAATTACATTAATTTGGCCCACTAACATTTGAGTACTTGTACTTGCCTTACTTAAACTTTCAATCAATCACCAGGATTAATGAGTTTTAATTATTCATTTTCGTAGTTATTGTTGATTGTTATAACTTTTCTGATGGATATGAATGAATAAATCATAACTTAGAAATTCATAAACAAACAAATAAATTGTATTAAGAGAGTGTCCCAAGACTAGCTTTGAGCACTGTAGATGTTGCTTTAATGCTTTAAGCAATTTTCATGCGAACCCTTCTGTTTTTCCTCATACATTGCACAAGCACACTAACGTCCCAACTGATCTACTGGGTCCATGGAGGTCTGCATCTTTCAAATGAGCAAAAGAGTTCATGTTGTCAGTTTTGTGTTTTTTTGTGGGTGGCCTTAATGGATATACAATTTGGGGTGTTTGCATTGCAAAGGTACTAAATCTAGGGGGGAATAAATGCAAATAGATTCATTCAGTGCACATCATGCCATTTCCTAAAGTAATTTAGAGAATGGTGATTGCATGTAGAAATTAATATCACTGAGTGTCACTCGGGCATCAGACAAAGACACTGTGGTGTTGGACCTATGGTCAAGGCCTACTCAGATTGATGAGGAAGCCTGTTTCAGCCACTGGAAAAAAATAAATAGCTACTTACTTTAATAAGTCATGATGAAATTTTATCTCCTGATTATGACTTAGCAAGTCATAATAATTAGATACTATCTCATAATAATGAGATCCTTCATTATTATGACATGCTTTATGGCCTTTTTTAACAAGCAGTGGGAACAGGCTTCCATAGCCTGATAACAGTCTTACCCAATCAAATGGGTAAAGAATATTTATTCAGCTGCATTTTTGATAATGAATTTTGATTTGGTTTCTGTAAATTTTGTGGCCAAGCTGATTGTTTTCATGTTTCTCATAATTATGATATGCTATCCATAGCCAACGATAACAGTAAACCAACGATGACGTTTAGTGGAACCAGAGAGGATACATTGAGTGAAAGCCACCATGTCAAATACAAAGGCACGTGAATTTGGCAAAAGGGCGAGGGGACTCATTTCCCTCCTTAAGCAACAGAGACTCGAGCCTGCTCACACAAGTGGGAAGTCTGTCCATTTAAGTTTTATTTCAA